TATATAATTAAAAAGATTGTTTTCATTTAAAGCCCCATCCTATCCCTTTACAACTTCTTTTTCCTTTTCATTTCTAATAATTAAAGAAATGGAAGCGTTATAAGGTCAAGTGACTTTTAGGATTTCCTGCTGTATAGTAGCAATATCAAACTTAGAAACTAAAGTCTGCCCAGTCTAACCAGAAAAAAAAATATTTTTAAAGACGTGTGTGTGTGTGTTAAGTTATGCCTAGAATTGTTTTTAAAAAGAAAGGAATTCAAGAAATTGTTGGGTTTTTTTTATTTTAAATAAAAGCCAGAATCAGATAGTATGAAGGAGATTAAGTCAGGAGGATAAAAAAAGAAAATGCGTGTTGTAAAATACTGTGTACCATGGAGAGATGAGCCACACATTTTGTTTTGTGCAGGTAGCACAAAGAAGTAAACATGATCTTCACCTGTGCTTGGAATGGCACCACACTTCTTGCTGTGGGCCATGAGCCGGCCATGATCTAACTCTTGCCTGCCTCGCTAACCCCATTCTTCCACTCTCACTATACAACGTTCCCTGAGTTGGCCTCACTCTGTTCCAAGAAAACATCAGCTTTTTCCTGTGTTAGGGCTTTGCATGTGCATTTCTTCTGTCTGGAGAACTCTACCTGCAGGCTACTGCTTATTTGGCTCCTTTTTATCCTTAGATTTGTTTTGTGCCTCTGGAGTCTCTGGCCACCCTGCAGAGGGAGGTCTCTCCTCCTCCCTTTATTCACTATCACCTTCTTCTGCTCTTGTTCTTCACAGCGCTTTCTGTGATCAGTGCAGGAGGGACCATGTTCACTCCTCAGAGACAATATTGATTAATGTCAAGAGTGTCTACTCTATAGCCAGACAACCTACATGAAATTCTACTTTACTGCTTAGAGTTGTAGGCCATTAGACAAGTCAGTTATTCTCTCTATGCCTGAGCTTTTTCACACATCAAATGTCCTTGACTAAGTATTCTTTTTTTTTTTTTTTTAATTTTTTTTTTAAATGTTTTATTTATTTCTAGGAGAGAGAGAGACAGCGTGAGCAGGGGAGGGTCAGAGAGAGAGGGAGTCACAGACTGAAACAGGCTCCAGGCTCTGAGCTGGCAGTCAGCACAGAGCCTGACGCGGGGTTCGAACCCACCAACCGCAAGATCATGACCTAAGCGAAAGTCGGACGCTTAACTGACTAAGCCACCCAGGCGCCCCACACCATTTTATTTCTTACCCGGATTATTTCAGTAGTCTCTTACAAGGTCTCCCTCTGTCCACCTTAACTCCCAAGTCTATGCTTCATATAGTGGCAGAAGCAATTCCTTTACATCACAAAACAGATTATGTCACTCTCCTTTTCTCAGCTCTCTAGTAGAGTCCTATCCTATTCAAAATAATCTACAAAATCTTTACTGTGCCCCATGATACTTCATTTGATCTAACCCCTCCTTACTTCTGCTACCAGTCTCTCTGCCCATTCTGTCCCTCAACATGAAGCCCATCTAGTCTCTGTGACAGTGGTTTTACTGCTCTGTCTGCTTAGAACTGTCTTTCTTCAGATATTTAAATAGCCTGCTCCCTCACATTTTATTCAGGTCTCTGCTCAACTATCCCCCTCTCAAATAGGTACTAACACCACCGGCCAGTGCTAACTATAGTAGTACTCATGTCTCACTCTGTCTCTTCTCAGGGCTTATTTTTATTATACTTCATACCTAATGTATTATGAATTTTTGCTTATCTCTTTTTGACTGTTTGCTCAGCTAGAATGTACATTTCTTGAGGACATAGGATTTCTGTGATTTCCCAGCTCCTAGATTAGTGCTTGGCACACAAAGTGCCTACTAAACATCTTCTGAAGGAAAGAATGAAAGGGTGAACGACCAACCTCTATATAAATAGTTTATATACATGCTGCTGCAATAATTCCTTAAATAAAATGTTCATTTCTTAGTAGACTGATCCATTTTCTTTGATATTTTTCATTTTAAGTAAGACTATGAAACAGGTACTAACATTGTGAGAATCAAGGATGGAGGAAAACCCAAAAGCTCGTGTGAATCACCTACCGTCCCCCTGCTTGCATAGCACTCAGGCAACCATCCATCTTTATTGAATGTTTCTCCTATTTTTACTACTCTTTCAGAGTTTTACAATCTTGATAGGAAACCTTTTCCAATATTTAATTATTCTTTCAATTGAACATCTATTATTTAAGTCACGTCAGATTTGATCACAAAAGTCCAAGCTCTTTTTTTGGGGGAGATCTTGTGGGAAAATAGAAAATTAATCCTTCATGCAAAATGCTTAAGCAGATTAGCCTGCGTATTCGGTATAGGTGTACATAGTAGGAAACCCTAATGCTCAAATGTTGTTGAAGTAATCACATGTGAACAAGAATTTTTTAGCCATTTCAAGTCCTTGAGGGTTTTTATCATAACATCTGTTTTTATTCATTTAATTATTTTTGTTGTTCAGCTTACATACTGTTTCCTTCTCCTACTAAAAACATAGACATCAAAAGTTCATATAGTAAATGAACTATACTAACTTTAAAATAAAAATCCCAACGTTTTGCATGTCAAAATAATAGTCTCAATATCGTGTTAAAGTTTTAAATTATAGCTCTTCTATTTGGCTTGGGAGGTGCTCAACATAAATGTTTGGGGATGAACTGAGATGGAGATGGCAGGGTAAATGAAGGAGGTCAAAAAGAGAGAAAGATCATGTCTGGAACTTGATGGTCACTTTCTATGTTTGTTACCTTGAAAAAGATTAAGGGGAGGGTGGATCTCTTTATAATTCAGTCATTTTTTTTTTCTTTTTCTACAATGTTTAATACTAACCCACATAGGGGTACCTGGGTGGCTCAGACAGTTCAGTATCTGACTTTGGTTCAGGTCATTATCTCACAGTCCATGAGTTCAAGCCCCGCATCAGGCTCTGTGCTGACAGCTCAGAGCCTGGAGCCTGCTTCGGATTCTGTGTCTTCCTCTCTCTTTCTCTGCTCTTTCCCAATTCCTGCTTGGTCTGTCTCGGTCTCAAAAATAAATAAACACTAAAAAAACTTAAAAAAAAAAAAAAACGAAAAAAAGACTGACCACATAAATGACCAAACATCGCACGTGAAGATTTAAGCTAACAGTGAGAATAGGGCTGCTCTTTAGGGGACTGTATTATTTTCTTTTAATGTTTTATTTATTTCTGAGAGAGATAGAGAGACAGCGTGAGCAGGGGAGGGTCAGAGAGAGGGAAGGGGACACAGAACCTAAAGCAGTCTCCAGGCTTTGAGCTAGCTGTCACCACAGAGCCCAACGTGGAACTCGAACCCACGAACTGTGAGATCATGACCTGAGCCAAAGTTGGATGCTTAACCGACTGAGCCACCCTGGCGTCCCTAGGGGACTGCATTTAAAGCCAGTCACAAAGGCATATTTCCAGGGTAGGTAAGTTTAATGAAATTATTTTTTCTTTAGCTTACTAAAGGAAAGCATGGCTTACAAAGCATGGCTTACTTTCAATAAATAAAAATGCCCTAAAATAAGAATAATATATGTCGCTGTAAAAAAAAAAAAAAAGGAAAAAAAATTTTTCACAAAACATGCTACCATCTAGATAGGACCATTATGAATATCTTTGTGCTTCCTATCTTTCTCCTACATATATTTTAATATGTTAATAAGAGTATAATATTAACTACACTCTATAATTATGTATCATAATTTTCATTAATATTACAATATGTACTTATTCTTACAAATGACTAATTTTCATGATCACACAATAATATCTTATAATTTACTAAGCTTGTTAATTTACTTAGCCACTTACGTATTGTGAATATTTTGGTTACTTCTAACATTCAATGTTAGACTTTCTTGCACAAAACTTTTACATTACCTTTTTGGGATAAATTTTTTGCATAAAGAAGATTGTGGAGCAAATGTCCTAAAAACTTGTCTTCCTATCAGTAAGTGAATGTTTTGGTCTCTTGCATTTATCATGTTTCATTGTATTAAAATTTTTTTAATGTTTTTATTTACTTTTGAGAGAGAGAGAGAGAGAGAGAGAGAGAGAGAGCCTGAATAGGAAAGGAGCAGAGAGAGAGGGAGACACAGAATCTGAAGAAGGCTCCAGGCTCTGAGCTGTCAGGACAGGGCCTGCTATGGAGCTCGAACTCAGGAACGGTGAGATCATGACCTGAGCTGAAATTGGACATTTAACCATTTGAGTCACCAGGGCTCCCCCCAGCATAAGTTTATTTTAAATTGCTGATTGAATCTCATTTTTTTCTTAATTTGTATAGTTTTGCTTACTACTGAAAATGAACATTTTCTCATATTAGCATTTTGTGTTTCTTATTTGGGATTTTTTTCATATAATATGTCAATATACTATTTGGGTCCTAGTATTTATTTACATTCTTCGGTAAACAGTTTCTGCAGTCGGGACAAGACTAACTAGTTCATGGTCCATTTCATTTTTCTGCTAGTCAGTTTAACTTAACATTGCAGAATGGTAAAGAAATATTTAAGGCCATGTACCACTTAATGGCCTTTGTTCAGGCCCCATCCAAACATGTTCTAAATAAAATATCATGAATCATTTTATTTATAGGCAATACTGAGCTACTTAAATTTATAGGATAATTTTTTATGTGTATTATTTCACATCAAGTAAAGCATGGTTCTTTGTTCACACTTTTATATGTTTTCTTAATTTACAGTGTTCTCACCTATACATACAAACACACATACATTTCTCATTCATTTACTTATCTTCCTTTTTAGAAAAAAGGGAAAATAAAAATAACACTCATACTCAGTGTATGTTAATGCTTACATGTAAAATATGTATGTTTAGGGCTCTTTTTCAAATAGAAATTATGTTCTTGGAGGAAAGAGAGTAAGATAATGAAATTTTAGACGATTAGAGAATAGGAAGGCATTTATTCAGTATTTTTTTTTTGTTTTTAGATATTAAGTATATTGTTTGGAAATACTTATATAGTTATACATTTAATTTAAAAAACCTTTATAAACTATAGTAAAATTAAACATCTTGCTCTAAATTGAGAAGATATAAGTAGAATGAATCTTACAGGGAATGGTTCAAAGAGAGACCCCAAGACAGTAACTGAGCTGACTCATGAATTACCCTAAGAACGCTAGTATTTCTGTGAAGTCATCTATGACCACAGACACAAAGAGAAAATATATGTGTGTGTCAATATTTAAATTTTGGGGACACAGCTACAGTTAAATTGGGTGATCTTGGGGTAATTTGTGACCTATTATTAGTGTTTCATTTTCCTACAGTTTTAGTAATCAAATCTAGACTGGCAAATGTGTGGGAGGAGGAAATCAGTATTTACTAAGGGTTTATGATATTGTGTGTTAGGCATTATATACACTTAACACCTACAATGGTTCTAATGAGAAGGTTTTTTATACTCATTTTACAGAAGGAGAAACTCAGAGGAACATAGATACTTGTGATTACACAGGTAGCAACTGGCAGAGCCAGGTTCAAACCCAAGTCTGACTCCAAGGACATGACCTTTCACAAAACTGTGCTATTTTATCATAGGTCCTATTGCCCACATCATCAAAGAAACAAAGGAAAAAAAAGGGGGGGATTATCGTATTCTCCTAGAATAAGTAGCTAGAGGGTAGAAAGAGTCTGAACAGGAAATCAGAATTATAGTTATTTCTTGTTGTTGTTCCATTTATGGTAGGGATGAATTTGTAAGGCCACAGAGCACAGCTGCACAAGTTGAATTCTGTATATCTCTAGGGATTTGATGAAAATGGTCTTCCTTGAGTTCTCTAGTTTATACCCTAGCTAGTGCAGCAGCCCACTATGGAAAAATCATGGCCGTCTGGTCTTCAGAGCTGTGACATCCGACCTGCAGTGTAATTTCAGGAAAACATTAGAGGAAGGGAGATTTCAGAGAAAATTGAGTTTGGTCAGTTGACTGAATTAATTTAGTGCTAGAACGTTTTATTGGCTCAGTTATAGAAAGAAGTGGCTCTATCTTTTGAATTTGTTTAGTCTGGGAAGAAGGCAAAAACAAAATGTATAAATAACATAGGGATATGTAGGAGAGCCATCCCTTGTCATCCCTTAATTTAACCAATACTGTGTTACTTCTCAGGAATAAATGGTTGGCAAAAATTACATTTTTACAGAAATTAGGTTAGGTACTTTTTCTTCTATATTAAAAATATGCTGTTTATGTCACTTCTATTAAACAACTTTTATTTTTATATAGAATACAGTATTAAAAGACATTGTAAGTCAAAGTGTATTTTGAATTTAAGTAATACAGAAGTTCAAAAAGTCTAGTTTCAAAAATGTCTTCATTCAATATAACAGTATTATAATTAGATATCACAATTCTTTCCAGATACACAGTTTCTAAAATGTCAGAAAGAAAGGAAAGGAAGAACCAAAGAAACAAAGAAAGAAAGGGTAGGAGAGAGGGAGGGAGGAAAGAAGGAAGGAAAGAAGGAGGAGGAAGGGAAGAGAAAAGGAGGAAGAAAGATAATAGGAAAGAGAGAAATAAGGGAAGAAAGGAGAGAGAGAAAGGGGATAAGAGGCAAAGAGTGACATAGTAATAATCAAAATATTCTTAAATGACATCAAATCAACTGAGATATTTGTCTTTTAAAAAGACATCATTTCTTTTTGTAAGCAGATTGAAAAACATTTTTTTGTCCTAAAGTAATAAGTGTGCAAAAAGAAACACATGCACACACACAAACATACACACATATGTTATTCATCATTGCTTTATAAAGTCTTCCACATTGTATTTGAATACCCTTCCCTTCCGGCTTCCCCATGCCTTCAGCCTTCAAGAAAGCAATTCTGTTTTAGAGACAAGGATGTGTTTGTGTGTTAAGAATAGAGAAAAGAGAAAGGAAAATGTACAAGAAAAACAAAATGTCTCTGGTCCCTTTTATGTAGGATTTGTCCCCAGAAGAACTCCAGGAGAGTTAAGGTTCCTTTAGGAACCAAGTACACCCAGGCCCCTCCTCCCTGCCACCCTAACACAAGAACTAAGGAACTAGAAAGTGACACAGTAAAGTTGCCACAAAAAAAGAAAAAAAAAAAAGGAATATTTTTGCTGCCCTTTTACCTCTACACTCCAACACCATGTATTGGAAGGTAAATTTGATCTGCCTCCTTATTGCCAAACTTAGGTTTTTAAGCCCCCAAAAAAGACCCAGATCCCTGATGCAGATAACTGAAGGTTGATGTAATAATCAAGAAGATTGGGAAAAATTTTAATATCTATATTTGCTATCTGTCTCTGAGAGAATTGAATAAAGATATAGTAGGAAGGGACACAATCAAAAAGGGACTTAAAATCTAAAGAGATGATAGTTACTTACATATATTCTTCCTTCAATCACCCTGCCCCTATTTCTGTAAATAGAACACAGATTCACCAAGTGGTTAAAGCCAAAACACTAGTTCTGTTTCTTCCTTCCCTCTCCAGGCCCCCTCCCACACTTCATTATCAAGCATCAGCAAATTGCAATTCCACCTCAAGACCTTTCTGACCATTTCGTGCCACCCATCTAAGCTGTTTCACTGCTTCTGTTCCTATTGGTGGTCTAAAGTAACTCAAAATCCATGATCTCTAGCAATTGATATCCCTTTCCAAACCTTTTCTTTGAATTCCTAGATGCTTGTTCTGAAGTCAGCTATGCTCCCAGTTTCTTGCCATTGCAAATGCTTCCTCTGATCCATGTCATATTAACTCAGATATACTAAGATTTATACTATATCTGGATACTTGAGAACTAACAAAAGATTTAAAAACTGTGAACAAAAAGACCTGGTGTAGCTGAGTAAACACACAAATGTATGCATGAGTATATATACACACATAGATGTGTATGTTTTTAAAGTGTGTATATCCACATGTATGGATATATGTGTGTGTTGTGTATATATGTGTGTAAATATATATTTGTTGTGAAAACATACATATGTATTTTGAAAGTCTTGCAAATAGTAGAATGGTTGACAACCTAAAACCTGCAGCATTGGTGAGAATATAGGAAGGGTATCACTTTGGTGTTTGTAAGTGCTGTCTGTCCTTTGCTTCTAACAGAGCTGACTGCCTAAGACTAACATTAGCGAACACCTTCGCCTTAAGTCCCCCTGGGTGGAGCAGTGATCTTATCACACTGTTCACAGAAGGCAGCTTTGATTATTCTCCAAACTAGGTTTGCTATGCTCACCAACATGAAAAAATGAAAAAAGAAAATAAATTCAGTTCATCCTTGTATAACCCGAATAGTATTTTAGAACATGTAAATCACAGAAACTGCTGAACTAAATATGACACTAAAGAGATTTTTAGCAGGGACTTCTTAAAAACATTTAGCTGAGGTTTCTTCACTTTCATGAAAAATCTATACCTGCTTCTAGAACACCAATAGATAATACAACTGATACTAGTCTAAAGAAAAAATAGTTTATTCCTCAGGCCTAATTGTACCTTAAAATCTATGTGATAAATGTTTCTTATACTCCAAATTATTGCCTTATTATTATTAAAATATTCTAAAAGTAACATATTAATTATATCTATACATATATAGATGCATGTGTATATATGTGTATATATATATATAATTGTTAATGTAAAAATGGTAAAAAGATAAATATGCTGTTTGGATGTTGTTGTTGTTTAATTGTTAAAGACACTGCTAAAAATTAATGACAAATGAAAGCAGTCCAATAAGAGTAACAAAAGTAGGTTAATCTCCTTAAGCTCACATAAATTATGGCAGCCGCTATTCTTTCCCCAGTAGTATAAACATGATTGGAATTTTTGAAAAGAGCTTAAGTAGAGTATAGTCATTCCTTTCTCTATTTAAAAAGATTTAGATTAGACTAAAGTTAGCTTTATCAATGAAAAAAAAATCTTTGTACTGTAATGCAAAGCAGACAAATGAGACCTCCAAGGACAAAAAAAAGTTCCAAATATGCAAATATTTGTAATTTTCCAGAAAAGTGCAGGTATACACTTCAAGCAAAGGTTAGACAAAAATTATTCATAATCTCAAATAAACCACAACAATACATTACTTTGCAAATATAGGTTGCCCTCTTTAAACAAAGAGATGTATTTTAAGCCTCAACCTGATACAGTTTATGGTACTGATATAGTTTGTGAAAAGACAGGAGTTTAGTGCTGATTATTCCTTGACATTATAGCATAAACTGTAGGTCATATAAACATGCAGAAACTGACTTGTAGTGAAATCACTTGCAGAACTATATCCATTCTTTTCTCATATAACTGTATTCATAGTTAACCGAAAACAGCCTTCTTTCTGTTTTTTACAACTTTATTTTTGAGGTGATCAGAAGGTAAGCTGAAGCAAAGATAATATAATTAGGTTTACACAAAATACTAATAAAAATAAATCATCAGATATAATTTTAAATTAATTCAATTCAAACAGTTTTTTGGAAATCCTCTAATTCTTCTATTTTCCAAACCTTGGATCATATTTGAATTAATCATGAATTTCCCCTCTTCCAACTGTTAAAAGACAACTCTATTCCTTAAAGGAGAAAGGACATATGGACTATCACTCAGATTTTACTTGTTAGGAACAAGTTGAATCCACTGAAACAAAGGAGTCTAAAGCACTTACAGAAGGGTCATTTACCCAGTCCTGGGTTTGGCAGAACACTAGTCATCTTTCCTGTTTCCAAGAGGATCCTGCTGACTTTATTCTTATCTACTGGTGGTCCAGTCAACCTTGGATGATAACAGTAAGAGAGCTATTAAGGCCGGAAGTTTCCCAGATTGCCTCAGTCCTGGATTCACTCATTCAACTCATGGACCAAAAAAGCACCTGCACTTGTTCATACTCCATGTACTAGTGCCTCGCTACTCAAAACGGTTTCCAAACCAGCAGCATCTTTCTCTCTTGGAAGCTTGTTAGAGGCACAAACATTTCAGGCCTCACCTCAGACCAATTGAGTCAGAATCCATATTTTAACAAAATCTCTGGATAGTTCATATGCCCATTAATGTTTTAGAGGTGCTGCTCTAGGCTCCTTGCTTGGTGCCTGAACATTCTTTCTGTTAATTATGCTAATGCTCATTGGTTTCCTTTTGAGTATTAAAACTATGGATCATGCCTTTTTAATCTAAATTATGTCAAATATCAGATGCTGACTTTCTGTTACATTGTAGAGATGCCAATTGGTGTTAAGCTAACCTGTCTAGTTTTTGTGGTTTTATTGTCTTTATGCCTTTGGCTGTCTTTGGTGGAGAGGTGTGTTTTACCTCACATGTCTATTGTTTCTAAAGTACCATTACATCGACTTTTAGATTTTATTTTGCTCCTCATTACATCTATTTCTGAAAAAAATTAAATTATTTTCTCTCTCAAACCTTGAGGAAGAGAAAGCAGAGATATTGGGAATATGGAGTGATTTCATTCAAACAAGGTTACCAACCTTGGTCTTGGATATTAATATGAAATCATTGAAATGATCACTTTTCAGTCTTGGCACATGCAAATCAGTCATTAAAATAACCCCAAATAAAAGCATTAGTTATGCTTTGTTTGAGTAAAATTCTGAAAATTATTTGTTCTTTCCAAATGGTAGCATTTTTTAATTAATGGCTTGTTGTTACTTTTAAAATAAACTCTTCATGCATATGCTTTTTTACTAAAGAATAAATTCTGAGGCCTTGGTTTTCAAATAGGCTGTTCATTTTGCATTCTTACCCTGCATTTCTCTCTTTAAGGTAGAAAAAAAAAAACTGTATTCCCTTTTCTGATTTTACTCTGATTATATGATCAAAAGGATAGACTCTTTAGCTTTTCTGAGTTATTTTGATTTAAGATGGCTAGTGCTTGCTCAACTCATGTTGTATTTCTATTCTCCTCCTTATCTCTAAATACTAATTTATTTTATAGCAACAAAGTTATATGTAAGTAATTATCAGATGAGAACTAAAAACTCTTTTTCGGTAACCTGAGGTTGCAAACGTATTGTGGGTGGCTTTTTTTTCTGGTCCACCTCTTTCCTAGAGGTATTTGAAAATGCCTCACTAAGGATTTAAACTATTGTGAAGTAGATGATGGTTTGAAGTAACTCAGGTGTTTTTAGAGTAATCTGGATACCTTAGTTTTGATGTTTGGAAAAGCCTGAACTATTTAGAAATCACTTCTGTTATCTACTTCCTTTTTATCCCTACACATAGATTTTTCTATTGGCAATAGTTCTGCACATTTATTGAAGGCCTATTAGTTTTTCACATGTGATGATTATATCATCGTCTATGAATGTCTCCCAGCTCACCAAACTTCTAGTAGTAGCTCCATAAGGCATAATCATGTAACTTGCTATTCCTAATTAACCTATGCTTTGAATTTCCATAGTGGTCAATCTCTTTAATATGACCTATTACCTTGAAAGACAAATCATCTAGTGGAAATGAAATTGGGTTTAGAGGTCACACACAAGGTTTTGGGTCTTTAATCTGATGTTTGCTGACTGATGTCCCAGAAGAAGCTACTTGAGCTCCATTTTCTTAATGGCAATACTAATACCGACACTGAACTTGGAAGGATATTTTGAAGACACATGAAATATTTTTTATAAATTCTTCTGAACTAAGGTTCAAATAAATCAAACTGTTAGCTGTCTTGTAATGCTTTTACTGAAATCTTTACATTTGTCTCTATATCCCTTTAAAATTTGAGACAAATATATTTCATTTGTTATCTTGTATAAATGATGTAAGATAATTTTTCTGCCTGCTCTGATAAAAAGAGGAAAGTTTATGCCCTTTCATAATTTATCTGTATTCTCTTTGTGTTTTCAACAATGTAACTCAGTTGTATTCAATTTTCTTTTATAAGATAAGTTTAAAGATTTAAAATAAGCCATAAGAAGTGATTCTGCTGTGAGGTATCTTACAAAACATAGAACTGTGATGGGGAACCCAGATGGTGGTTTTGCTGTATGCTTGTTCTGTTAAATGTGGCCAAGTCAGGGTCTATCTTTTCCACCTGAAAATCTCCATATTTGGAAGAAGGGAAAAGCACTGGCACCGTTTCTTCCTTATGGACCAAACTATATATAGTGACTTAGAAGCCTTTACTTGTTTTTATGCCATAAAATGAGATATAAATTCAGCAGAATGCTTTTACAAAGGAATAGAATAGTATGTGAAATGACTCTAGTAATCACTGGTCTACTTGTATAAACATACTATATTCTCAGAGATGTGACCAGGATGTTGATGGAAAATCAACTCTGCAAAGTGGAATTCTGCTTCTCTCTCTTGTTTTTAAAATGCATGGGTTATATAGGATAGACAGAGTATTCTCAGTACTCTAGTATTCTAGAGATCTGTGTATGATTTGGTATTAAGGCTTTTTGTTTTGTGAGATTAAAAGAAAGAAAGTCAGGTTGATTCTAAAACTGAGAGTGACATTCTTTACATGTATACTGTGTTAATTTTACACTCTACATTTAAAAAAATACTCCAGACTAGAACAGTTTGAAGAGGGAGCTTAAAGTTCTCATTGTGAAAACATATTTTCTCACTAGAAATAGTCTCATAGGAGGTTTCCTAATTAAACATTAATATTAAGAGATTAGAAAGACTCAGACGTGATTGATTTATTAGTTATTTAGTTCAGACATTTTGGAAGGCAAATATATACTAATTATGCCCTCAGCTGGGTCAATAACAGAGAGAAATTTTTATTTATGAATTTATCCTCTAGGACGGGGGTACTGGTTTTTGTAAATAAACATGTTTGAAGAAGTCTACTTAATAATTACTTAGAAAAGCAATGAATTTAATATTTATTTTAAACCAAACAAGAAATAAATTTATTTTGAAATGCGGACTATACAGATGCTTTCAGTCAGCTAAGATCAGATTAAAAACTTTTTGACGTTCTTTAAAAATATTAATGCTTTGGTGGATGGGATAAAGTACTTTTAATATGGATGGATATGACATGGTTATGCACCACATATGACATCACTGGGGATATGAGATGGGAATTGGTAAAAGTCAAGAAAAAACAATGTATTAAAAAGATAAGAAAATAGGAGTGCCTGGGTGGCTCATTTGGTTGAGGATCCAACCCTTGATCATGGCTGCGGTCACAATCCCAGGGTTGTGAAATAGAGCCCTATGTTGGGCTCTGCTCTGAACATGGGGCCTGCTTAGCATCCTCCCTTTCTCCCTCTCTCCCTTTCTCCCACCCTCGCTGGCCCTCTCCCCCCTTCTCTCTCTCTCTCTCTGTCTCTGTCTCTCTCTCTCTCTCTCTCTCACACACACACACACAAATAAGAAAATATAAATTACAAGAAAAGCAAATTGATTATTCAATTTATTGTTTTAAGAGTCTAGTAATGGAACATTGAGCTTTATCTAACTTTAACTTTTTCTAACTAGAAGGTTATTTCATTAACTATACAGAGCAGTATATAGAATATTAAGCTCATTATCCCTCATAAGATAAGAGACAAAACAGGAGAAAAAAGGAGTACTGAGGAAGATGTTGGCATGGGATTTAGGAGAACAGGGCACAGTCTTGGTGCATCTATGACTTTGGACATGGTGCATCACCTCTTCTTTTTCTGGGAGCTTGTATATATTACAAGTGCATTTGGCTACAAACAGCAGAGAAGCAGATATATACATGCAGGCTGTAAACAAATACAAGTTTATTTTTCATATATAGCCAGGAGTCCTGAAATACGTAGCTGAAAGGTAATGCAGCGGCTCAAAAATATCATTAGTGCTCCAGGCTCAAGCCAATTCTCCTAATCTTATAGGTTTATATAAACTTATGGTCCACCCCCCCCCCAGGCATTATATCACATTCAAGGCAGACAAACCAACAACAAGTGAAAAGCTATATTGCATCCTATTATCAGGAAGGCAGAAACTTTCCCAGAATACATGCAGCCCCAGCAGAAATCTTTTTAGGGCTCAGTGGTCAGAACTGGGTCACATGGAAACTCATATATTTAAGGGATAGGAGAAAACAGAATTTTCACGATTGACTTTGACCAACTTTAATCCAGTACCTGGCCTCAATAAGTACATTGGCTGCTCTTAAAAATATCAAGAAAAGGTTCTCCATAGGATATAGTAGTTACTCAGTGTTGCTATGTTTTCCCGAGGAGATACAAGATGAAAAAAAATCAAGAAAAGGACAATGGATTTTGAATGGCCAACTAACAGTGTTGATCGGAAGATTCCAGCAAACCCAAAAGAGGAAGGAGATTTACCTTTTCCCGAAAGAGGAAGGGGTACCCAGAATTATTCAAACCAAGGTTAAAAGTACAGGTCCCAGATTACCAAACTGACAGAAAACGTCTGACACCAATTGCAATGAGTTTGGCAAACAGCAAGTCTGAGGGCACAGCCCTCACACAGCCCTCCGCAAGACTGCTCTCACATCAGACACAGCCACAAATTCAGAAATCTTTAGCACCATCCTCACTTTATCCAAACCAGCTGGCTGCAAATTTGGATTCCCTGCAGACTACCCCAAGTTCAGCAATTCACTAGAATGATTTATAAGTCAAAAAATGCTGCAGTTAAATTACAGTTTTATTATAGTAAGAGGATACAAATTAAAACCACCAAAAGGAAGAGACACTTAGCAAAGCCAGGGATGTGTCAAAGCACTCTCATCTTCTCCTTTGTAGTAATGGAGGGCATTGCTTTATCCCAGCTGTGATGCTGGGAGACTCATTCAATATTGACTCAACGTTGACTCAACTTTGAGACTCAATAACTCAGAGTATTGTCAACCAGGTAAGCTTACTGTAGCCTTTGGTGTCCAGAGTTTCTATTGGGGCTCAATCACATAGTGTCCACGTGGCTGATCTCTAGTTTCAACCCGTCCTGGAAATTAGAGATAATAACTTTCAGTTTCTAGTTCCTCCAGAGGTCAAAACTGATATGATGGTTTCTAAGCCCCATCACATTTTTTGTTGCTAGACAGTCTGGTGATCAAAGCCCACAGGCAAACAAAGACACTCTTATCAGGCAGGATATTCCCAGGGCCCACAGATCTCCTCCTACTAGCGAAGAGCAATGGCCAGACCTCTCTTTGGGTTAAAGTTAATCTTTCACTACACAAATTGATTGAAGAAGGAGTTCTGATTCAGCTCTCATATAATTCTAGCATCCAAATGTACCACCAATTTACAATGTTAAATTCTTGCTTAATATAGAGCATCTCTTTCCACATCACTGCTATAATTTTTTTTTTTGACCTTAAACTTTTCCTGCCACCCACATTTCCCTCTGTGGTACCATTAAGCATCTTCTCAAAACACCAACCTGGAGGAGTATGCAGCATTCTTAGCACCAGAATACAAATGTCATTTCACCATTATTTCTGCATTGAGCCAAACCTCTTCAAGGTCAAAATACATACTCATTCATCATGTTCCTTCCCCCATGCCCACCATGGCCCCTGGCCACTACCCAGCATTTAGCATCACATTCTGGATTCTGTTACTCAGCCTCAGTAAACTGGACACATGGGCTACTGGAAACGATCCTTCACTAGCTCAGAGTGTAGGGTCTCTTAGCTATATTGGCTCAATCATACCACTGCTGCACATCCCTGGTCTTCCCAAAGCCATACAGAGTTGCTCTGCCCCATATGCCACGCTGCTTTTGCTGCTGCTGCTACTATTCCTGGAACCTTCCACATGGGAAGCAGCCACATGTTTCACCTGATTATTTGGTGGTAACTTTATTTTCCACATAGATAACTTAACAGGTACATCTGCACATTAACATCTTTGTCAAATGACTGTATAGGAGGGATAGAGATCTCTGGGTCTTTACATTATTTGATTGGGATACCTACAAAAATTTTTCATTTAGTGAAACTGAGATCCAAAGAAGTTAAGTGAGTGGCTGCAAGTCCCAGAAGAGTGAGTGACCAACCCAGGACAGGAGTTAAGGTTCTCTAACTTCTTTCCCTGCTCTCCTCAGGCTGCCTGCCAAAAAGAAATGGATCCAACAGACTTTGCTGCATGAAATGTTGTGCTTGCCGAGACTCATGAAGCATCAAATCAACAACCTCTAAATGAGAATTTCCATTGGCTCTGTGTACCAGGACCAAAATCACTGCAGAAGGAAACTCCTTCCTTCATGACTCTGAGACTATAAACCTTTTTCTAGTTCTGTGGCCTAACCTAATCGTTTAAGTGTTAAACTCTTAAATATTTCCCATTTTGTAAAGTCGCTGGGTCCAGCTCCGTCAGTCTGATTTTACCCATGACAAAATTAGAGTTTCAGATTAGTTAAGAGATCTCTCTTTCATTTTATAGCTGATGAAGGAAGTGGAGAGAGAATGACCAACCTTACCTTGTTAGCGAGAGCACCAGAAGGGGAGTGCAGATCTGCTTTTCTCTGCCCACTCTCTTCTGGGGGCATGTGTTAGCTTTATGACTAGAAAAAGAAAAGGAAAACAGAAACAAGCCTACCAGAGACTCACCATCCCTACTCTCTACCCAACCCCCAACTCTGCCACCCATGCCCATTCTTTTTTCTCTAATAAATGCTTAGAATCCCGTTTCCAGAAGCTCTGTGTCTCAGTATGGCCACAGGACTGAGTTCTGAAAATGAGAAGTGAATAGAAATATAGTTCATATCTAGAATGTCTTCTTAAAAGAGGTAAAGTGGGCCCTGTTCCCAACTCCCCTCCTTCCTGCTGCCTATAATGCAGATATATGATGGCAGTTCTAGCAGCTTTGGCCATGGGAGTAGACTCACGAAGACAGAAAGAACCTGAAATCTGACTCTGAGAAGGTGTCATATCAGTCTTACATTGTCTATTCAGATGTTTGAGGAAGAGGTGAGGGAAGTAGTGGGCAGAGAGAAAGAGAGAGAGAGACAGAGGGAAGGAGGAAGGGAGAGAGAGAGAAAGGGGTATGTTTCTGGCTGAAATAAGAAATTACTTTTACTTTGGGTTTCTGTCACATGCAGCAAAACCTATCCAACTAAATTTCTAGGATTAAAGTAAATTTCAAAGTCCTTAACTTGAATGGGCTCCTTTTTTGTCTTCTGCTTCTTAACTAATATTTAGTATCTCCTGTTCAGGAATATTTTCCCCCCAGTTCAAGGCCTACCTCTCATTTGTATTATTCATCACCTAAAACTGACATTCACTCTTAATAACGTATGATTTTGTATTAATATTTATTGCTTCCTGAGTATATCTTGACTCTGCAAATAATTGTAATCTCCTTGAGACCAAGGTCCAACAACTTCTTAGAATCACTTACAGTTTCTAACTTAATACCGAGATCACATAAGCCTCTCAGTAAATACTTAGAGGACTATATTGCATGAATTATTGATGTTTGTTATCTGTGTAGTTTTTTTAATAGTTAAAACCAGCATCGTGTGTGTCTGTGTTTATGTGTGTATCTCACAAGGTTGTGAGGCAGATATTAGAATCCCTATTTTCCATAAAAGGAAACAGAATCAAAGAAGTTCATAACCTGCTTAATGGCCTTCTGAGAATGCTCATCTTAGGAGAGATAGACCAAATCCAACCCTGACCTTCAGAACACAGTCTTTCTACTACACCCCGCTGTCTTAAAGTCACAAATAACTCCATGCTTTTCACTCAGTGTGGCATATTTAAGATGCTGCCCTGCCATTTAGGAGTGAACCATAAAATCACTGATAGATAATTCCTTCATATTAGCAAATAATTACCCCTTTCCCTTGCTATGTTCTATTCTTAGCTATATCCCCAGGGACAATGGCAGAAGTGACTTAACTATATATAACAAGCATACTTCTGTACTTAGCTGTGGGGTTGTCACTGGAAGGTGGAAGCCAGCTTCTCTCCCTGCCCGTGATGCCATCTTATCCCTGAGGTTCTTTTCCTCAGCATCAGGTGGTCTGGTGTCCAAATGGATTTATTGACCTCACAGTTGACCTACGTGTCAATCAGTGAGTATTTTATATAGCGAGAGAATATGAATCTGTGTGATGTAAAAACCTTACAGAAACTTGCCCCTTTCTCCTAACCTAATTTTAGCCTCAAATGTTACTACTGTTAAGATCTCATAATTTCAGTTTCCTCTTGAGTGTTTGTATTAGGCTATTCTAAAACAAAAGTTGTTACAAGGAAAAAAGACTTCAAAAATGCTCTATGCTCTTAATTTTTGCTCTGATGAACAGCTGTGCCAGACCTATCTTGCAAATTGATATATTACCCATAATATTTTTTAAGACTTTTGGTCTTTGGGTCTCAATTTCTACTTTGGTCTTTGATGATTAGTGGCATTTACTTCCATTTTCAACTTTGTTTTGAATCCACTTATCTTACCACCAACTCAAAATTAATTATAACAGGTGGTTCTAATCTCAGAAGTAAACATCCTTGTCATCTCTATGCATTACTATCTACTAAGGGAGTGGGAGAAAAAATAATGGACTATGCAAGTTAATCTCAGATAATGAGGTAATTTTGTGTGGTGTATACATCTTTAAAAAAATTAACTGTGTTTCGTATCCTTTAAATGACAGCCTGAGTACTTGGAGGGAAAGTCATAGAGTTTAAAGCATACATATTGGATTTTGTGATCTAAAATGCAGTAAGTCTCTGGAAACTTACTTTTCTTTCAAGACTAGCTTGTGGTGGTATGACTAAGATCAACCAAACTCCATGTGCCCGTTTACAATCATAGAAAAGGTATGTCAGACTCAAAAAGCTGAGTCAATTCTACAATATCAGCATGAAACGGAAGAAACTGCATGATATTCTCACAAGTTTGCATAAGCTGGAGTTACTCGTCATTATTCTGAAGGCTTGATGTCTTTGAGAGTAGAGTGAAAATGCAGAATGTCATTGAATTTCCTATACCACATAAAGGATGGTTGCCTCTAGTGATTGTCTCATTCCTCAGTAGAGTCTGGCAAATGTTGGAAAGTGGCATATTTTGTAGTGGGCTTTGGTGGTGTAGTGGGCTTACAGTTTTTTACTGTAAAAAACACCTGCCGGATTTCAGTTAATTAACCCAAAAAACATATTCACTTCCGTTATAGTCCAGTAAAGGTTGGCATGAGTGGGCCATTCTATAGTTATTTAGGGACCCAGGTTTCTTTGATGTCATGATTGTACTATCTCCCAAGGCTTACAGACCTCTACTGATCTTCTTTACTTGAGAAAGGATGGAGAACATGGTGGGCGTACAAGAAGTGTTGTAGGCTGTGTCCACATGTAGCTTGTTTGTTTTCACCCATCTGCTCATTCACCAGATCTTAGTAGTAAAGCATCCCTAACCTTAAGGAAGGCTGGGAAATGTGACCCATGTTTGTGCCCAGGAGGAAAAGGAGAGTTTTGGTGATCAGCTAGCTAGAATAATTACAAACAGGAAAGGAGTCAGCATACAAAAGAAGGTGAAGATAAATAAGCAAAAATATGCTATTTGAGTTAGGAGGAGATAAGGTAGAAGGCATTGGTGGAGATGTTGCCTTTGAACAAGAGGTAGAAAAACACATTCGCAGACTAGAGAGAAGGCAACTTAAGTGTTAATAGGTGCTCGGTGGAGGGCTCTATATCCATGACGTTTCCTTCTAATCTCCAGAGGAATTCATGAGACTGCAGATCCAAAAACAAGATCACCGCATAGAGTTGTATAGTTTGTGTGTTGCACAGAAGTGCCCTGCCAGAAAAAAGCAGAAAGAGATGAAGAAGAGCCATTTGCTGGCTCTTTGTGCAGTATGCTCTGGGGACACCTGCATTCTCCTGGAGGAGGGAACGTTTTTCTTGGCACAAAGTCATCTTGTTCCTGAGGGGTGCAGATCTCCCAGATGAGGTGTCTTTTTCTAATTCAACCATCCTGAGGGTTTCTTTTCCTAAAGTCATTCAAAACGCCGTATGAGCTAACAGGGGCCCTACTAAGACCAGACTAAAGCAGATATATGAGGAGTAGTTCTGTGCCTGTGCCATGTGCAGGTCTGGGAACACACTAGAAGGGACACTGGAGAAGGGTTCTTAAGTCCCCGAGCTTCCTCCTTATATTAAAACTTTGCTATTTCATTTGAAATTACTCTTTTCCCCAGTATTTTAGATAGACTATGGAACATTTCTGTCATGTCCTAAGGTTTTAAAGACTTATTATAAGAGGCTCTTTTTTCTTCTTATAACTTACCTTTATTGCTATTTGCTGCAGGAGTTTGTAGCTATATGGGTTTTTTTTGTAGTGGAAAATTCTCAGTACTGGAAGCAAGGAAAACTGTATCTGACTTTACCCCTAACTGGATGACCTTGAAAGACTTTCACATCTTCAAATCTCCATTGTGAATGTTCTTGTTTTGTTTATACTGATGATTCCTTGAATACATGATTGCCTATTTCCCCTTTATAGTACTTACATTAATAGATTCTAGGGTACATAGCAAGCACAACAGTTTAGACAAAGATCTATTCATAACATTTAAGAAACCCAGAAATGTACAACCTACAATCAATTTTAATGAAAATAAACAAAACCACTTATTCAGAATACAAAGATGGCTTTTTTAAAACTTGTAAACTACTCTGTAAGATTATTATAAAGCAGATACACAGGTAAAATAATTGTACAAAATGAAATTTAATGTGTTTATGTATATTTTAGAACAGTATCACATAGTAAACACAGTATAAGTGTGTGTTGCTCATTATTATCATTACTAACACTCTTTCCACCTTGAGACCAGTATTATAAACAGTCCAACTGTGATAAAAAAAATTCTTCAAAACCAAAGTTATGTTTTAGTGGAGTTTGGAATGTGTTTCTAGGTCAACTTATTCTAATTGGCTTTAGCCTTCTATAAGGAGACTAATAAACCAATACTGAAATAAGTTTTTTGAGGGGAAAGCCAGTTAAAATGGCAAAGTATATTAAAATGGCCTATATATCTAGGCAAGATAATTTCTTTTGGTTTTTATATATGGTATGTCACATTTTGTTGTTTTTAAAATGTGCATCAAGTTCTTGAATTTCCCCACTGGCCACCTTTATCTTCATTTCTTCTACTTTAAAAGCAATCGTTGTCAAGGTTTTTTTTTACTGGAATGTGTTGTTAAATATCTTCAGGGGTGTACTATTTTATCCCTGATAATGTGACCAAAACATATCATCAAATATTTATTGATGATCATTATTAAAATTTTAATTACTATACAGAGAAGAATTTTCAAGCTACCCCAGTAGATATATTTTAAAGGCTTCCAGGATAACCAAACCCAAAACAAAACGTAAATCTTAGCGTAAAATCTATCCATATCGAAAGGACAAATGAAGGTAGTATTTGCATTCAGAATTAGAATGGCGGTAGGCTGAAACATGAGTGGATAATAACAGTATCTGTCTGACATAACCAAGTTGACCATGCTGTAGTGAAACTCAGGATAATGTTAGAGTTTGAAACAAAGTAAAAAAAAATTACAAAAAATAAGAAAACTTTCTTTTCACACTAGTGAACTTGAGACCCAGAAAGCATTAATGACTACCCCAAGATAACACAGCCATTTAGTGGCAGACTTTAGATTTAGGGAGCCCTTGAGTACTGGTCAATTTTTGCTTTTATTTTTGTACCTCTGAGAGAAGACATAGAATCCTAATGTCTACATTATACTTCCAGCTCTGCTAACAGTGGGACGTAGAAATAATCAAGGACGCTTTGTGCCTTCCATCCTCATCTGTAAAGTGATAAGGCTGGACACAACAAAGGCTTACATCTTTCTTAGTCCTAAATTGCTCTAATTCCCTGTCATGGCTTATTTTTTCTTAGTAATATAAACCAGATCCTTTTCTTGGGCCCAATTTAAACTTATAATTTTGGAACTATAACTATGGATATGAGGCTCTTAATCATCAAAGCATTTTTTCTGAACACTTAAGCTGATGCAGTTCTGAAATTCAGAAAACAAATTTTGCAATCACTTTTCCTAGTGATTGAAAAGAAGGTAAAAGGACAGATATGAGAGGCATAATTATATGGTACATTTAGTCAACAACTGTGCAGGAAAAATGTCAAAAAATAAGGGTATCCATCAGGCAAAATCTGTACCATGACTCACGTTAGTGCGGATTTTCTTCCATGCGATCTGTTTATTAGGAGCATGACCTCTGATTGTCACTGGCCTAGATTCTAATTCTGGCCCTTCTACCTGCAAATAATATGACTTTGAGCAAGTGATATTTCTAAATCTCAGTTTGAAATGGGAATAAGAGTAGTACTTACATTGTGATGGTTAAGGGAAATATAGATAGATAGATAGATAGATTTAGTAGCTTTCTTAACATGTAGTAAATGCTTAAGAAATATCCTTTCTGAGTTATTATTTACCACATTGTACAAGTTGTTAAATAATTTGAACATGGCCCCCTGTCCATAATGAGTCTCTAGGAGTGATTGGGAAGAAAGACAATATCTTCACACAGAGAAGCCCCTGGCCTGCTGCCAACTCACTGAAGGATTGCTCAATAAATAGTAGCTGGATGAATCAAGAATTAGAAGACTAAATAACAGACCAAGGTAACACTAAGGATTGTTTCCAAGCCAGTACTCTCAGAAACCAATAATATGGAAATAATCTGCCTACTGTCTGCCTCCTTAATATACACACCCTTAGTTTTGTTCTTTTCCCTCCCTTTCAATTATAAGGCTGGTGTGAAGAAAATGAGTGTATGTAGTGAGAATATATACTTTAGAAATTTAGATTTCACACTTGATTCTCGTTGCTAATCCATAAAGCTTTTAGCAAATCTTTCATACAGAATTTTTTGTTTATTTCCCTAAACATTACCTTAAGTCTATCCTCTGTTTCCTCCTCATCAAAGTATAAAGCTATACTGCTAGTGAAATTATCTTTTGAATTACTTATAAGGTACTTAGTACCTTTAGTCAACTGAGCTAATTCCTTGTGTTATTTCATGATATTTCTTTACATGTCTCACCATTTAGTCACCATAGAAAATATCATGCAACTCATCATACAACTTTTATTAAATAGTTACACACATCGTATGGACAAGGTAACATAAGGTAGGAAGCATGGGGCCTGTTTTCTGAGTCTTCTACCTTAAAATAGGTGACATGATAATAAATAACATGCTGTGTGATATACACACTCACATTTGTATATAGACATATTTCACCTAGCTGAACTATACCATGACAGTGCATAAAAGACCTACATAAAAGCTTTAGTTTTCAAATTTGCAGTTTACATTCAATCTATCTGAGAAATCTCAGGAAAGAATTAGGGGGTATACAAGGCATAAGAACAAGACAACTACTGAATGTAGTGCACTTAAGATTTGTGCATTGGCACTGTGCTCTGGGACTTTTACACACGTTATCTCACATAAATTTTACTGTAGTGTCATGGAGTGAATGTTCTTATCTCTCTAATTGCAGAACTAACTCTCCCCCACCCCCAAGTCACACAATGAGTCATAAGCTGAGAAAGAACTGCAAAGTCCCTGTTGTTTCCACTATAGTATGTTTCTAGGATAAACTAAAAATTCAATCTTTTATGGGCTTTTTTCTCTTACCCGTGTATAGCTGAACTACTTGTCACTGAATTACCACATCTGGAGCTATTTCATCTTTTTGCTTACATTTTACTTTTATACACTGTTATAAAAAAGCTGCATTTCAGGAAGAAACACAGGCTTTTATTCAGACATAAAAATAAGCTAATAGCAATGACAGGGATGACTATGAAAGGGGAAGAAGCAAGTGCTATTGCCAAATCTATATTAGGAGTTACAGCGTTCATCAGAAAAGAACTTGAACATGTCATATTATGAAATAGCATAGGATAGAAGATACAACTTGGTGCTCTGACTGATTCCACTTTCCATATGGTGTGTTGATACATCCTATTTCCTTGGAGAATGTACTAAGGATGAAAGGAGAAAGGAATCCTTCGAAAGTGTATTGAATAATCATCTGAGTCTGAATGGATTTTGATTATACCACCATGCACAATGACTCCATGACGATAATGAGATATCAGACTCTTTGAATGCATCTTGAGCCATTCTCCAGCTATTGATATCAGTCAAATACGAAGTATTTCAACAGGATGGAATCTCCTGGATTCCATGGATCTCAGGGACAGTGTGGAAGGGATCAAGGCTAAATACCGATTATTTGTAAATCACCCTTTTTATAATTATAACACAAGAAAGCTTTTACATTCTCATTGGTCATCTGAGGGACAAGTATTGACAAGAAAAATCTGTTTATAAGAAAGGATTCAGTTACATTATCTAGAATATATTTTAAATCATAATTATGGAGTATTCACCTACTCAGGTTAGATTAAAAGAATACTGGTTTAATCATGATGCTTAAAATTTAGCACAAATATAATGGAAGAGGCTAAATACTCTTATAGGAACTGAACAAAGCACTTAAAAATCTTTAAAGTGAAAAAGCTCTACTTATAAATTTATCTATCTATAGTTCACAATACTGAGAATGCATAATTTTTCAGAAATAATTATTGTCAGGCTTGCAAAGGAAGTATGAAATGTAATAAGAGGATGCCACAGGGAGATTAAAATAGCCAAAGGAGGTCTTTTTAGAATTTTTAAAATAAATCCCAGTCTTTAAAACTTTTCTTTATTTCAATAAAAGTGGTTTTATTGTGATCAACATATTTAAACTCAAGAATCTAACTGCTTTATTAAAGTCTGGAGAGAAGACAGTGAGGGAATATTCAACAAAGCATTGCAGAAACAGTGAGTGGACTGTCCATCCTCATTGTCACTTGTGAATGATGCCCCTAGTTGAGACATTTTCCTATTCTGCAGTTACAACGAGGAGTGGGTAAGATAAGTATGCTTCCCTTCAGGATGCCCCTTAGGAGTCATTGTTCTCTTGTGGAAAAACTGATTTACTCCTTACTGTGTACAAGGTACCTCTAGGTAATATTGTGCTAGTTTCACAGGTGAAGCTTTAGGGGGGTGAAACACTTAGAGAAATGAGGAAATGTGCCCTTGGGTTAGGCCAGTGTTCAGTTCTGCATGTCTGTAATTCCAGAGCTCATCCCTTAAAATAAGCCATTTGGCTATAAAATGTGGATCACTCTGTGTTACAGAATAATACCCAATACTACTTCCATAATTACTGGCGGTATAAGCTTGCTATCTATACAACACATACAACTGGGGATTTTTCCCTCTTTTTTTTTTTTCTATTCAAAGTAATATACCAGAGTAAATTGTGAAGTAAGTTTGCAGATGGATTATGTGATCAAAAATGTTTTAAACAACTTATTTTGTATACTCTTATGAATTATGAATATTTTTTGACAAGTATTCTTCCTTGCCAAGAATTTCACCTTTTTTCATAAAAAGTTATGGGTATTTTTACCTTCTCAACTAAAACTATATCACATTAATGCAAAGTAATAACATACTTGGCTACAGAATGGAAGTTACTCTACCTGACTGAAATTTTAGATTTGTTATATATTATTTAATATCTGAATTGTTTGCTTTTGAGAGTTTCAGTAAAACAGAGAGCCATTATATCTTGGCTATCCAGAACAAACCAATACTCGGTAGGACACAAGGCAGCCCCTGTTTTGTTTGTTGGGTTGTTTTGTTTTCTTTTGTTTAGAGGGGAGAGCAGAGGAGCAGAAAAACCTATGTTGTAGCCATAGCCCTGCACTGATTATCAAGGTGATCATGGACAACACTCTATCCCACGGGCTACAGATCTTTGTTGTTTTTCCTTGATAGATGGTGTAGAAGACAAAGGGCATGTGATGCTTTCTTTAACTCACCCAAAACAAATGAGCATTATGTACTTTTCTGTTCCACATAAACAGAAATCACAGGCTTGACTAGAGACCAAGAAGAGTGTGTATTCAAATTTTATCCTCAGAAAGGAAAAATCAAACCTATTTGCTGATGTCACTTTCATGGGACTTTTATATTCAGTCTACATCTTTTACGAACTATGAGGTTGCACGTACATTCAATTATTTTGCCAGTTCAATAAAAAGTATGGTGGGGGGACTCTCAATGCATTCAATCACTTTTGTTGTTGGTGTGTTGTTGTTGTTGTTGTTGTTTAAGAATGTAAACCTTTTTGTCTGGCTCAATGGATTTACCAAGTCATTCATGAATCCAGCTGGGGTCAAGAGGAGTAATATGGAGTTCCAGATAAAGTCACAGTGCTCTGGAATTTTAACATTTTTTAATGTCTTATCTCTGAAAGAAAATGGAGGCAATGTGTTGCATTTTGAAAAAGACAACTCATTTATTAGAAAAACAGCCCTTAAAGTTCATTTAGAAAACATATGGCTTAGATAAAATAATATGGACAGAAAATGAAAAAGAAAAATGAAGGTTTCCTGATTTCACAAAACTTGAAACCAAATAATGTAATCTAATCTACAATTTTAATAATATAAGGTTTAGTAAAGTTATGGGGTTTGCTAATTGGCCCCTATAACTAGTCAAAAGCATTGCTGAGTCTTGAACCAACATGTCCAGGTTGAACAAAGTGTGCTGCTTAAGCATGGATGGAATGGGAGTTAGAAGGGCTTATGAAGCAGGGAAGGGTGGGCATTTCTTTGCTGAAGTCCTGAGTGACCTTTAAGTTCTTTTCAAGTAGTGCTAGTGGCTATGCCATCTAGGAGTTAGAAGGAAATTGAGTTTAAGTACAACTAATACTGGTCTCTCATGGCAACATGCTCTTCAAAAGCAATTTTTGAATATTGGACCAGCATCCACTATCTGAATCACTTGAATACTTATTAACTATGGAGATTCCAGGACTCATGCCGTCTTACTGGATCAGAATCTCTGGGAAATGACTCATAGAATCTGCATTTTTAACAAGCTCTTTGGTGATTTATGTGGACACAAATTTGAAAGAGTACTTGCAAAGAAGCTGAATTAAAAGGGAATGATGTTCCCTTCCACGGAATAAGGTCTGATTTTTTTTTTTTTTTTTTTTTTTTTTGAGACTGAAGAGTGTGGCTGATATTAAGACAGTGGCTTTGGTGATTAGGAAACTGTATTTTACAACCTAAAAAAATAAGAAATAGAATTAATCTGTAAGACTGTAGATAATAATACTTGATTATTTTTCAAATAGTGTTCAAATGAATGTAATCCTTTGATTTAAATATAGGAGTTGTCTTTTATTATGCATGGAATTTTTATTTGGTTTTGGTAATCCAAGGCTATCTCAAGGGTGTATTAAACTCTGTGTATTACTTGAATAAAGGGATCATTCTTGAAGTTTCGTATTGTAAATATAGTGAAATGATAGTGACAGTGATGAGCAAACTGATTTTTGAAAACTGCCATCACTATGCATGTTTTTTGCAGTGTTTTCAATAATACTGTGGTTTTAAAGTTTCATTCATTTAGACTTTATTGCTTCCAAGATTTTGTAGTGGATAATGATAACAGTGTTATACTTTTTAATGTGATAGAAGAATTATATTAACTAATGAGGTATTATGGATACTCTGATTGAGTGGTAGCTTTGTGCTTCTTAGCAGTTAAGTCCAAAGGAATGCAAAAAATGTTATCCTGGTATTCAAAACCATGTTCTTTAGATTTTTCTTTAGTTCTTTAACTATGTGGAAAGATTTTAATAGCATTTTGAAAACAAGGGTTATATCTTTCAGTGAGTTGGGAAATGTGGCTGTTAAATCTCCCTCTAAGGTACTCACAGTACACGTTAACAAATCAAAGTCTTGAGGACATCCTGCAGTTAAAAAGAAACCTGTTTAATTTTGAATCTTGGTTCAATTGTTAAACAAATTTAATTTTCACAGGTGTAGACTTTCACTTTTCATATATAATAACATCTTCCACAATACTTTCTTTTAAAACTACTTTGGAAACTGTTAAGTTATATAATTCTCATTCTGGTGAAAGGAAGATTTCTATTTCTTCATTTCTCCTAGATATCACACTGCTTAAAAAAAAATGCATAGTGGGGAAAGGAGACTTTTGCAGGGGCATTAAATAACAGCAGATAGGAGCTTCAACAGAAAACACAGAAGAATTCTTTGCATAATATTTCTTGTAGCTGCTGTGTAATTGCTCTGCATTAACATGAACATATAATTCTGTATTGGTGATTCTACAGTGGGAGAATCTCATGTTGTTCGGATGTGCACTGCACCTTTCCAGTCATGTAATTTGACACAATACTGGAGCTCAGGCCATGTAGGAACAGGATTTCCTTTACCTTTCTTTATTAAATATCACTTTTGGCATCCAGACATTTGATAAGTCTGGAGAGAGCAAATAGGATAGTCTATTCTAAATGTTCCTGATTGAAGGGCAACAGGCAGACAAAGACCTGATTGGTACTTAACTGGGAAAGAAGAGAAATTTCACTTGGATCTTACCCAGAGCACCTCACACAGAGATTTCCTGCAAAGTTTCTTCCAGAAGCATATGACCTCTGAACATGTACTTGGATTAGGGTTCACTTCAGATACAAAAGTTGCATACAACAAAATTTTTTAACCTGAAATTTTCAAGGATCAAGAGCAAACAGCAATTCTAATCAACCATAAGAATTTCAGGACTATTCCTGCTGCACTTCTGAATTTAAGCAGGTTATTTTTGTAGTATATCTGCCAACATGAGTTAGCCAAAACATACAACTTCAGACAGCTGGAAATAATTGACCTGTTAACTGAGTAATTTGAAATTTTATAGACACTGGAAATTTTATAAAATTATAATTATGAAAACAACAGGAGAAATGGATGAAGAGAAAGAGAAGAATACAAAATCAGAGTATAACTTCAATAACTCTTGAAAGAAACGAAAGATGCCATAACCTAGCTGTGTCAGAACCATAAATAACAAGGAAGAAAAGGTCATATTATATCGATACAGCTCTCACACAGCATGGGCTCTAAGTCTTGACCACTACCTCTTACTATTGTTGCAAGTCAATAATGACCATAAATGCAATTAGTAGAAACAGAAGTAAAGGGAAAAAACAGAATAATTAAAATGAAGGTCATTCTGTTTACATTAAAATTTTTTTTTTTTTTTTTTTTTTTTGAGACAGAGAGACAGAATGAGGAGGGGAGGGTCAGAGAAAGAGTGAGACACAGAATCTGAAGACAGGCTCCAGGCTCTGAGCTGTCAACACGGAGTCTGATGCGAGGCTCAAACCCATGAACTGTGAGGTCATGTCCTGAGCCGAAGTCGGATGTTCAAGCGACTGAGCCATGCAGGTGCCCCAAGTTTACATTATTAATAAGTGCAGGCAATTAGTATAATGTTCTTCTTTAAGTGTCTCCTTGCTAGTAAGTCCCTTCATTTTAACAACATTCCTTGAAACATACATAAATGCTATGCATTTAGAAATATTTCTAAATAAGTAACTTTGCTCCATCTATTCAAGTTTTTAATTATAGCACATAAATCCTTTTTTATTTTTAAGTTGCTGGCATTTTCAGCTTTATGGAAGACCCTTCCAGAAAACATTCTTCAGATTTGGAGCTTAGAGTGAACAGATGCTTTATTTCTTTTCTTAGTTTATTGAGGATTAACTATCTCAGTACATTAAACTTGCCACAAACTGTAAGCATGTAAAATGAAACAAGACTTTTTCTTTGTAGACATGTCTCACTAACCAAACAAAAATTGGGATTCATGAATATTTAAGTCAGCCTGTGTTATCTGCTTGAAAATCTGGTAGACAGATACCTGCCTATGGAGGTCACAACCTCCACTTTGCCCAAAGTGCTCTATTTATCTGGGATTGGATCTTTTGTTGTTAGTACTGCCCTTGAAGTGATCATCTACTAGGTGACCTTGCTTGGTTTACAACAAATACATTGCTATTTTAGTCCTAAGGTCATAGTGTTGGTGCCATAAGGAGCCCTCCAGTGACGTTTGAACAGACTAAGTTGGAGTGAGTGATGCCAGCATATGGATGCCTTAGATTGGAAGGAAGGAACATCATTAGTTTTCCTGTTCATTAGAAATAATGAGGGAAAGGGAACTAAATCCTGCTGCCTCCTTGTCCCCATTCAAAGAGACATTGATCAATTGAAACTTCTAAAAGAAGATCCCTCTCAAATTATCTCAAGTCCTAATGACGCTTACTTACCAAAGTTCCTGCTCCCAAGAGTTTCTCTACATGTGCAATTTCTGCCATGTCCAAAGGTGATCTATGAGTCAAAAAGATGTGCTGAGATAATGCAGGTTGGCAAAAACACAGATTTATAATGAAAATAATTTTAGAAGAAAAGCAAAACCTTTTTAAACTAAAAAAATACAATATTCATATTTTACATAAATACACTTTAGGTATCATTTGATTATCCCAGGAAACTACTTTTGGTTTTCATTAAGCGAATTGAAACATAAAAGGTCCAAACTTTTTAAAAGTATTTAGAATATTATTGAATTTTGTTTGACACCAGAGATGACAGCAAATGTGATTAATTGCCACTCATAATTGCAGTTTCATTCCAGTGGTTATTGCTTGTCAGTATCAATTAATAGCTCAACCAAAACCTCATTCATTCCAGAATATTAAAGAATGATGGCTTGTGGGAATTATGCTAAACTAGCACTTTCAATTAGATTTTGAATTTTATAGGGTACTGAATAATAGTTTATGAGTTTATAATAGTAAGTACCAGTGAGTTATTGTTGAATTGTAATTACTATAATTATATATGTTTATCTGGAGAATTATAATTAGTATTGTCTTCATGATTAAAAATAGACTATTGTACTTAATTTTCTTACTGAACGTATAGTTTTTGAAGTTCATTACATAAATGATTGAGCTTCAAAAATAACCAGTTCCAAAAATCTACAAGAAGTGTATTGAAAATGACTATTGACTTATCAGAGGGGAAAAAAGACTAAAGGTAAATAACTTGAAGTTACAATTCAAGAGGGGAAGCTTCTGTGCATCCTTTGAGTGAGTAATCTAACTCTATGTTCGAGTTTTCCTTTTCTACTGTGTAAATAATTTGTCATTCATTTGAAAAGCAAAGATATATAAAAGAGTAGTAAAATGGACTATAGTACAACTTTTTTTGTTGTTGAAAGGGTTGAAACTTCGATTTAACTTTGTTTCCAGAACCTTTTTAAATTTGCTTCCAAAATTATTTTGTTTATAGAATCCAAGTTTTCATCAATCCTCAGGATATTAGAGAAAACATGCAAATTTCAAATTTGATGCCATAAAATATAAGCTGTGTACTTAGTGATATTGTATAAAGAGTCTTCAAGGGCATTTTTAGCACTTAAAAAATATTTTTAAAAAGTACATTGCAGACAGTTTAGAAATCCAATCCTGAATTTAATTTTTTTTTACATTTATTTATTTTTGAGAAGACAGAGACAGAGCACAAGTAGAGGAAGGGCAAAGAGGGAGAGGGAGACACAAAATCCAAAGCAGGCTGCAGGCTCTGAGATGCCAGCACAGAGCCCGATGTGGGGCTCAAACTCAACAAACTGCGAGATCATGACCTGAGCCAAAGTCAGATGTTTAACGGACTTAGCCACCCAGGTGCCCCATGAATTTAAAATTCAAATCTAAAATCTGATAAAATTGTTAACCTGAAATAATTAGAGTAGGTTGAAGCCAACTAAGAGTAGGTTTAGTTCCCTTTTTCTTAGCATAATTGAACCAGTAGCATTCAACTAAAAAGAAAAAATAAATAGGAACCATATGACCAAATGAAGTGAATGTTAAAAGAAGGTCTGGTTAGGGGAGCCTGGGTGGCTCACTTGGTTGAGTGTCCAATTTTTGCTCAGGTCATGATCTCACGGTTTGTGAAATCGAGCTCCACATTATCTCTCTGCCATCAGTGCAGAGCCTGCTTCAGACCCTCTGTGCCCCCCATCTGTCTGATCCTCCCCTGCTTGTTCTCACTCCCTCTCAAAATAAAATTAATAAACATTAAAAAAAAAAAAGAGAGAGAATGTCTGGTTACTTGGGAAACATGATGGTCATCCCCAATTACCCAGTTGATCCAAATGACTATGTGGTACTTATACATTAATATAATTGAAAAAGAAATGAATGGATTATTGTACAGGCTTCAATTTCACTTTTTTATCTAGATTACTATATTCATCAACCTGATTCACTGAATAATTGCTCAAAATTTCTTAAAATTTTGTGTATTGAGCTCAAATTGTGCTGTATTTTGTTTTATGTTATTGTTTCTTTGTTAATGAGTCAAGTACCTTTATCAGTGTCACTATAAATGCAGAAAGTGTGGAGAGCATAAAATTAGATGATGAATGAATTAGAAGCAGGGACAACACCATATGGAAAAACTAGAATGTTATTTCTCTTGATCTAGATAAATTTCTCCACAAATGCTGCTTAAAGATGTCATTAACCATTCTGGCAATGCTGATGCCTCATGTTGAACTATCACAGATATCTTTTCATTTATGGACTGTTCAACTTTCTGCCCTAGCAACCTGTGCTTCTGTGTTTGGTTTTTGAAACCTCAGGACAGAATGTATGACATAGTGCTTCTTAAGTTAGATGGCCAGTGCTCTCCATCCTCACCTCCTCTCTACTTACTAGTTCTGTGACTTACAGAAAGTAGCTTTGCTTTTTTGCTTTTGTTTCCTCATCTGTACAATGGGAATGACAACTATTGCATAGCCTTGTTTTAAGGATCAAATGTACAGGTAAACACATAGAAGAGTTCCAGCTCATAGTAAAGGCTGAAATAAAAGTTGTCACTATTGTTACTGCCTTTATTCTTTTTATATTGGAATTAGATGGTCAAATGCTAACTGTAAAGTTTTGTCTTAAGCCTAGATATGGACTCTCTCAGAACACTGATGAACTGTTATTTTCAGCCCTTCATTCCAGCTTGTCAGTTTGCTTTAGGACCCTGATGCTGTTTTATAGTTTTTAGCTCTGTGAGATCTGCAAATATGACAGGGTTTTCTTTATATCTTCATACAAGTCATTCACAATAATTTTCAGAAAGACATGGCTGAGTACAGAGCTCTTTGGCACACCAACAGGGGTCTCCTTGCCAGGGTGAAACTGATCCACTAATCTCACACTCTTTATACAGTAGTTCAACCAGCTTTGCATCTGCTTAACCAGATTATCATTCTGCTCACACATCCCTATCTTGTGTATGAAGTATCATGAGAGATATTGCGGAAAGCCTTTCCGAAATACATTTTTATAAAACTAACAATGCCTGTCTCCAAGTCACATCTTAATTGAAGTTTTATATAGGCAATCTGTAGGCTTACTCAATTATCTCACTTATTGCAGATTATCTATATATCTCCCACATACAAAGAACAAAGGAGAGTGAACCAATGGAATAATTCGTTATTATTATCATTATTATAACTTGGCTTTAATGGCTTCCCAAATGTTTTAAAAATAGGTGTTCACATTTTTAATTTCTAGGATATGTATGGAATACATCTGTATATCTCTTAGTTTTTCAGTTGCCTTGTCAACCAGTCAACCATATATAATTATCTCTAAATTCCTAGACTTTTAATAAACCCCATAAATAAAAATTCCCTTACTGTCCTTGTATAATGAATGGTATCTATCCTTAAACTCCAAATCATATAGTTTTTAAGGACCAGTTACTGGTGAGAATAACACCAAAACATCTTACTTCTGATTTTCCCATCTACCATTATCCCAGGTCCTCAGGAGTACCAGGCTTAATGTACGTGGGGACTTTCACCATGTCAATGTCTCCTCTCTCCTTTTCCCCTCCGCTCCTCTTAACATCTTAAACAGCCAACCACTTGGTCATATAAACAGCTTGTGAAACTGATGACTCTTTGGTATCAGTGAATATGAAGCGTTAATAACCTCAAAGGGCAATTATGAAATCTCCTCCTCTGTCTTTGTATGATAGATAATTCTTCCACCACCTTCTGCACCCTACTTATCCCACCAAGATATTTAACAAATGCCTGGTACTTAGAAGGACCTGTATTATGGAAAGACACTGCAATTGAAACAATGGACTATATTTCTAATACTGATAACAACAGGATCTCAGTTACATTGAAAAAGTTGCTTCTTGCGGCACATGTGCCCCTGGGTAGCTCAGTCGTTTGAGCATCAGACTCTTGATTTCAACTCAAGTCATGATCTCATGATTTGTGGGATTGAGCCCTGTGTTGGGCTCTATGCTGATAGCTTGGAGCCTGCTTGGGATTTTCAATCTCTCTCTCTCTCTCTCTCTCTCCCCTCCCCCTAACCCACTCATGTGGGGTTCCTTCATTGTGTCTCAGGATATTCATCTATAAAATGGACAGACAAGACTAGAGTCATAATGATATATCAATTAATTAAAAATAAACACGTTTATTTTTATTTTGATCATCAAAATCTGTAAAAAGTGATGGGATAATGTTCTGAAGTTTAAGAATGGTGGAGCAATAAGACATTGCTTTTAATTAATTGCTTTTAATTGATCACATAGTATATACTTTGCGATGCCTCTAATAATGAACATATTTCTTTTCCTGACTCACTTGTACCTCTTTTAGTTCAACAATATTTTTGATTTGTATGTAATGTAGGAATGGTTTTTCATCTGAAATATGGCTTCAGGGATTACACAGATTGAATTTCCTACCGGTCTTGAAATGTTTTGGAAGAAATAGCAAGCAGCAGGCTAAGTTTACTTTATTCAAGAGCATTCTTAATTAGTAAAATTAATTTAAAATTCCCATAGTAATTTACCGAAAAATGTTAAGAGAAGTCAAACAAGATGTTTCCTAGCGAACAACAGCAAAAAATCTGCCCCTGTAACCCTATTAGACGCTTAACTTTTCAAATTGTCCTTTGAAAATGAGTATGTAAAAACCTTGCACACATGAAGCAGTCACATTTTTTTTTCTATCTCACATAATTCTATTCAGAGATTTATTATCTACTATAAATCTTAAACAACAGAAATGTTAGTGAATACATTTTATTTTTTATGCTTATGAGTGCTTCGTATTATATTGGCATGTGAGCAATCAGCCTTGTATGCTTGTAAAGCACATCATCAAGTTATGGAAGAGGCCATTCTATTATCTAGCCTAGCTCCATGGCAGGAAGAACATACCCAAATCATCTCAGTGGAATAAAAGGAAAAATTTTCCCAATTACAGATGTGGAAACTTGCTTAATGAAAAGTTCTAAGT